GAGACTGTTTGACATCATCTGGAAAATGTAAATACAAACCAGTGTCTGAGCCAAAGGTGTTTTCAGAGTGTAAAATGGCACTGTGCCTTTTTAATATTTAAAAGCCAGTGATATAGCATGTTTTTCCCATTTGTCAAAAACCAACAAGGTGCATCTTTCTGTGCACCTGTGCATCACTTTTTTAGTTTTTCTATTTATTAAGGTGGTATAGCCTAAAGTAACAGTGCAAGATGCATTCAAATGTGTACTAGTACACTCATACACTTTATGTTAAACTGTTAACATAAAGGACGTATAGTTACCAGGAACAGGACATAAAAATCTGTGCAAATAGTGCAGTGCGTGCTACATGTACAGCACCAAATGTATTCATGATCGTGAGATGTGCCATCAAAGGCGTACTGCAGGACTGTGTGTGCATGTGTGCTTTTATGTCTGTATGAGTACACTGTGTTACTTCGGTGAGATGAGTCAGAGCTGTGAGGGTGACTCATCTCACCTCCCAAGTCACACACCAACAAGAGGGACACTTCACATTTGATTACAAATTGTTCTCAGAATTTTGCAGCACATTTTACCTTAGCTTTATTTAGGTTTGTTTCACACCTGCATCAGACTACAGCATATCAATCTGATTAGGACCGTTCCTAAAAATATGACATTTTGTTTTGTTTTGTTTTTTTCAAGCTGTGATAAATGGAGGGTCCCCTGACTACTTCAGTAAAAAATTCCTTTTGTAATTGAAATTATGACAATTGATATAATTATTTCTTCAAAAGTCACCCTTGAAAGCATCCTTAAGAAGAAAAAAACTAATTGATAGAAATGAAGGGTATGTTTGTGTGTATTATATTTGAACGTTTTCATTCATTCTTCCTGTGGCAACATCATCATGCCTGGATATGAGCTAAAATCATCATCATGTCATCACAAGAACAACTTTCTGTCGTTGTTGTCAACATGCTTCCCACACCCTTTGAGTGCATGTTTGCATGGCTGATTTCTGCAGGCTGAGTTTATGTAAGCGCATAATTAGATAGAGAAGTGGAAGTGATGGTAATGTTTCCTGTGAAGATGGAGGCTGATACGCTCCACTGACGGCAAAGCTTGAAGTGTGAGTCACACTGTTGTGGGAGAGAACCACACAGCTGTGGACTGGGCTGCAGTCTGCCTGGCTGATTGGCAGACCCATCCATCCCAGTATCTCAGTGTGTGTGTGTGAGGGGGGGGGTACAGATATGATACTGTATCAATCAATCTGCTGTGAAAAACAGATAAGAAGCTGGAATGTCTTTCAGCTTGAATGTGGGATTGGATACTGTTTATATTAATATATGTATATCATCATATATCATATCATCAAATATCATATACGTATAAACATCAGTCCACATTTTTTATCATAATTTCACCAGGAAAGTCTGACTGATATACACAGTCTTTATAATATAGATGCATCTGAGAAAACATCAGCATTAAGCAAAATAGAACATAAAACCAACAAAACAACAACAGCTAAGGAGCATTTCATGCCAGTATACCCCAGCAAACATCATGGCCCAAAACTGTGTTGGCAAACCTTTAACAGTTTGGACACTGTGTAAATAACTGCTTGGTTTAAGTCCAAGCTGCTGTCACACCACGGTAAAAATCAAGTCCATACTGTTTACACATATGATGTGCTAAACTTTAGAGCATACTGTACACATTACTTACTCCTCTGAATTAACTAGAAATGATCAAATACTTTCACTGCCAGACATCGTTCAGAGTGTAATTTGCAGTCAGATCCAATAAACTTCATAAATATTCATTATTAAAATTCACATTTTCATTTTGGATTTCTTCTTCAACTTTGTCACCACCATTTGTAATTTATTTCAGTGTTTTTAAAGCTGCGAACAGCTCTTCAATTTCCTTTGTCTTTGAATAGGAAAATGTAAAAGAAGCACAAGGAGTAAATGGTCTGATAAGTAGAGTTCTGCACAGCCATCTATTTACTAGTAAATAGTGTATTTTAACTATGAATTTAATGATTTCTTATCTGAAATGGCAGGTGTTAAGCATCTTATTTCATAAACTAAAGTTTAGGACTTTCTAAACCACATCAGCCTTCATCCATTTTTTGACATAAACAACACTTAGCCACTCAAAACTGCACAGACATTTAGTGTACACACCAAATTACACACATATGTTATCCTAAACACATGCAGAGTGAGAAAATGTGTGCACACATTCATGGATCCATGCAGGAAGGCAATTATGTAAACACTGACATACAAAGTCAAATACACATGTATACGCCAGAAAGGTTATGACCATAACCGAGGGGGCTGTTATATCTTGACTGTAAAACTGGACAAAACGCTGAATGTAAGTCTAGGCCATAGCCCGGGGACTCCCTTTAAAAAAATGTATTGCCAGTGGACGAGCACCTGGGGGCACCCCCTCAAAACCAACATGATGAGCTGATATGGCCAAATTTTAATAGTAGAAAAAGAGAGACCTTTCTCAAACAGGCCCTGCAGGAAAAACAAAACTCACACCATGAAGTATTGAAATGGGAGAACTTTTCATTCCTGGCACCACAGCTCAGAAACCAACCACTTATAAGCATACAAGCCTCTAGTGGGTGGGGCTCGAGGGCTCTTAAATTGTTGCTACCGCATTTGAGGGTATAGCCCCAGCTATTAAGTTGGATTTCTCAACAGGTAAGCATGCAGGGACCATAGTTCAGGCCTGGATGAATCACCTACCCCCCTGCCCGAGATATAAGATCCCTTAGGAGAGGGAGCTCCTGGGTCCCTGCTGCCAGCGGGCTATCTCTGCAAGCCACACCTTTGCTGGCCAGTGAGGTGCCACCAAAATCAGGAGTGGATCCTGCTGGCACACCCTGTCCAGGAGAGGGCAAAAATGAATTCCACTAGAGGAAACTCAAGTTTATCAAGGTCTCTTACATTATAATGTCAGGGTGGCTGAAGTTCAGCAGACGTTGGTGTTGCAACAGGACAAAGACCCTAAACAAGTAAATCTACTGTATATCAGGATGACTTCGAACAAAGAAAATCCACCTTCTGGAGTGGCCCGGTCAGAGCCCAGACCTTAACCCAACAGAAATGCTGTGGAATGAGAAATATGTAAAAAGAATATTTTAAAATTCTTCCTGATCATTGAGCAAATGTGATCTATAGGTACAAGTTGTTCGAAAACAGCAGACAAAGGAGGTTTGACCAGTTATTAGATTCAAGGGTTCACTTATTTTTTCGACCAGAGCTGTAAGTGTTTAATAGGCGTGTTTAGTAAAGTTGCAAAAGATTATCAGTGTTTATGTTATTAGCTTAAGCACATTGAATTTGTTTATACTTGTGATTTTGATGAAGATCGGCTCACATTTTATGATCATTTAATTCAGAAAACTGAATAATTCCAAAAGGCTCCTATACTGTTTATTGCCATTCTGCATCTGGGATGATAAACCTGGACCACTTGAGTTTATTCAGTACCAAAGGGAAAGTTCTAATTAGGCAAAAATTAGTGAATACCACAAGTTTTCTTAAGTCACTTGTTTGTGCCACTTAGGGACAACTTTTTTTTTTTTTCCGGTGAGCTAAAAGGCGCCAAGAATACAGTAGCTAAAAGCTGACTAGGCTGCAGACTTGGTTATTATTACTCAGAGGGTTGAGCAGTAGATGTAACATTGCAAAGAATAATTTCATCGAGCATTAAAGAATAAAGCTGTCTTACTGCACAGTAATAAAATGGAACCTCAAAAAGGTCAGTATGCAGATCACAAGTTTATTTTGGTCTCTTGCTTTGCAACCAGTGACACCCCATTATCTTCATAATAACACAATAAAACACCAGTACTAAAATCCAGTGGAATCAGTGCCGTTAAATCATAACACTATGGTTATTCTAGTTTTACATTTTTTTCTAAAGTGTACTATCTGTTATTCAGACTAATTTAACTAAACTGGAGGACCCAATCAAACAAATGGCCCCTAAACTGCAAGTGCTAATTCCCCTCACCTCAGCACTTCACCACTTGCCACCGCTGTGCTATGTCTGTAAACAAAAAATCTGATTGGCATGAAAATAAGGAGAGGGAAAATGCTGGGCCAATCAGAACAGACTCTTTGTTCGGAGTTGAAAATAGAACACTTGAAGCCAACTGTTGCCTGGAGACACAGATTGCAGGCAATTACAGAGCCAGATTACAGCAGAGAGAAAATAGGTGATATTCTCAATGGAGCACGAATTTGTGTATGGGTGAGTGGGTGAATGAATGTGTATGTTACTGTACCTGTGCTGAATGCAGCAGGCTGGACATTAGTGTAGATATGTGAAACTGTAGACACAGAATTGTTAATGATTCTTTTTGTCTGTAATCTCTTCTGCATGTGAGCACCTTATTGAATGGTCAGCGATTTCCGTATGTGTATGGTAATGTGTGTTTTTATGACATTATGTAACGTGTGTACTACCTGAAAAGCTTATACAATTCCTATTTTAAAAAAAATAACACATACTGTAAGAAAAATCAAGTGAACATACAATAAACATTATCCCAACTAAGTGAGAGGTAGGAATATATAATTTTCATCCATTAGGGTTTAGTATTCGGCTCTGTTTGAGTATCTAAGTGGATATTATTCACTGTATGCTTAAAATACACCACTACTGCATTGCACAAACACAATCAATGATCAACAACTACTACACTGCAGTACAAGATGAGTAAGAGGTCTCCGGTGAAGTCTTGAATTTGTTTAAAAATAATCTAAGATGTATTCTGATCAAGTTGTGCTTTTAAAGCCTGATAGGTGTTCGAGATACCTTGTCTATGTCTTATATCTAACTGTATTATTCAGTTTACAAATAACTTTCAATTGAACAATTTTCATACTAAAATGATCCTCTTTTGGTCAAATATATGTATCAAGATCATTAACAATATCAATGAGGCCCTTTTACAAAGAACAAAAGCTTGTGCATGAAGATGTTTAAGAAGTGAGCGTCCCAGTTTCCACTTTGAACAGTGTGATGAGTATCTTCCCCTCCTCTACACCTGGTGGCTTAGTGATCACATCCCTCGGATCCCTAGGTCTCCTAGACTTCAGCCCCGACTCTCCTCTCCGCTCCCCTTCCCCTGGTCTGTGGAACAGCCTCTCTTTCAAGTTGGCCCCGGGGAGGATCCAAACAACAATCCCCATGGTAGTCAGGGCCGAGCCGAGGCAGGTGAGCCCAATGCCGGCAGCGGCGCTGACATGCAGCCCTCTGTTGAAGCTGACGGCTCGGTTGTCCACAAAGAACAGGTCTCCTTCTCCAAATGACTCTAATTTAACTGGAGTGGAATAACCGACTGAGAGGCTGGCAATGCCTGCAGTCAGGATCAGGAGACCTAGAGTCAAGGACACCTGGGGGGAGGAGAGAGTGGTAATTTGTCCTTTCCTGGTACTCTTTGCTCAGCACTCTTCACTTCTTGCTAGGAAAGGTCAGTTTGTTGTTTGTGTTGCACAAAAATGTAAATTATCAAATGGACAAGGGGCTTACTTGCCATCCTCACATTTACAAATACCACTACACCGCCTGTAGTTCATCATGCAGAGACAACAGGCGGCTGCAATCACACTAAGCCACAGAATAGCTGTTACCAAGGAAGGAACTAATTAATGGCTCGAGTCAGTTAGTCACACTAACATCATTACAGTCACAGTACAAGTACAGTACATAAAGTAAAGGCCAGTTTTTACATAAAGATGATTACTTGTGACTACAAAAGAAAGAAAAGAAATTATGTGACCTTAAAAACATATCTGTTTATTACACTTTAATGTTCTGTGTACTGCAGGAACACATTTATTTGAAAACCATGTCTCAGTATAAATGAAATATACTGTTTTTGTTTTTCACTGTAAATACTGAAATAAACTTCTACACATGCTTTATAAAACTTGTTAGTCCCCTGAGCATCAGTCTACCTTGGATTATGAACCTCTACCTGGTCTAAGCAAAACACATGGACAAGGGAAGCCTCAAACCACCAGGCTTTTCAGACAGGACAGGACAAAAAAGTACTTAGTATTCTTGTTTGTGTAACATGCATAATTTCCTGTGTACCTATATTATTCATCCTGGGACATCAGACCCATGGGACCCATGTAGGAACAGAGTTACAGTGATGGTTTGTAATGTAAACAAGTTGGAGTGTGTGTGATCTACCTTCCACACTGTTGAGTTCCACCACAGGGCTGAGCTCTGGCTTGGGACGCATCCCCTATCCTCCGGGTCCCTCTCCCACACGGAGGATGAGCACTCCTCGTAAAAGTGGTGCAGATAGGAGCGAACACCAAACTGAAGACAGCTCGCCTGGAGGGATGTTGAGACCAAAGTAACCAAATTACATGTGAAAACAGTCCCCAGGGGCTACGTTTGCCCTGCGCTGTCTCTCTTTCAGGTTTGAAGAAAGTATAGTATAGACTACAGTGCACAAAGTACAGTGTTTTTAAGTAAAGTGTTTGTTGTACATATTGAATATTTATAAAATACTTGTGAATCTGTGAAAATGTGGGGTATAAATAACCTTGTATTTAAACGTATGGAGCATGTAAAATAAACTACACTCACAGTCATTTGTTCTTCACTCATTATGTACCTGTTTATTAAATCGTGCACTATTACTGGGTAAACACAAAAAAGGCAGCACGGTGTTAAAGTTAACTAACAACTTTGAGGACTCTGAAAAGTCCTTCAGAACAGTGGCAAGTGTTATTAATAGACAAATATTCAATGACATTAGTTGTGGTATAATTTCTCTCAGGTAATTTGGATCCAGTGTTGGACTTATCGAACAGGGAAAACTGATGTTACAGAAGAAGCTAAAACAGCTTTTATGTCTTGTCATATGATTGAAGTAATGATGCTACATGGATGAAGCACTGGAGATATGGGAGAAAGCCCCTTTATTATAGGCTAAGTTTGGGGTATGTGGGCTGTGAACTAAGCCCCTGATTCATCTCTTTTGCAGTATCATTTCCATTTCACAAGTACCCAGGGACAAATACTGGATTTACACTGTAATTTGTGGACAGTAATCTAAAGCATTACTAAACTACATTAAATGTCCTCTCTACAGCTGTATAATGATGATACTGAGAATATTTCTTAGCTGTAATAAAATCAAATATGTTCTCACCTCACTGCCAGAGGATTCTCCTCCTGAGCCAGAAACCTCAGAGCACAGCGCCATAACACCTCACACACCTTGTACACCTACAGTAAAAATGCAAACTGTGGGTAACACATATTCAGAGTCCTGAACAAACTGGCACGTGTACATGTTAGCTACGGGTTTCCCTCAGTAGAAGCCTCCCTCCCTCCAGAAACTGGTCTGTTTTTGTTGCTGCACGTGAAAGACCGGTGGCCCTGAGGGGGCTGTGTGATGATGAGTCACACATATGCAAGTGAGTGCACGCTCTATACAGCATGCACATGTCCCTCTGTTGTTATTCATCAAAGGTGGTTTGGCTGATTTATTTTGTTCACTGCCTTGAAACAGTTTCTCTATACAGCCACACACAAACCTGAAATGTAAACAAACAACAACATACAACAATGCAAGACAGTAAATGTCTTATGCTGAGGTAAAGAACCTGTGTGTGATAGCACCAAGCTGAGGCAAGATTAAATAAAACACCTAGACTCTTTCATTTTATTTGGTTGCACTAAATTAGCCCTGGTGTAAGAGTCAAGTGTTTAGAAACAACGTTTACAAAGAATTACATTATCTTGTAAATGGAATATTGAATATTCAGCAACTAAAAACCTTGTCCTTATTGCTTTGTCATTCCATTTTATTTTTCTCTGGGTTCGTTTATACTCATAGAAGAAATAGCCTGACCTTTCTAGTTTCATTTGTGGTGAATTCCAACACAATTAAAAGTATGAATTCACAAGAAAATAAGGCAGCAAACTTCAGTATCCTAAGACTTCATTTAAAAACTTTTAAGCAAATGTGTGGAGCAACTACTGTATTTGTGTCTCCAGTGGCAGAGAGTAACTCAATACATTTATATTTACTCGGATTAATAAAATGTTTAGCTACTAGCCTACTTTATGTGAGTGCTTCCATATTATTTTATACTTTTACCTTACTACATATCAGAGAAAACCAAGCTTTCAATAGGTTTAAATCAATACAGAAAGAACTGTATGTGATAAATAGCCATCATAACACATAGCATCCGAGCCATTTCCAAAGCCAGTGCATGTGTGTGCTTTTCCTGGTTTTGTGCAGATGAGGTTTGACAGATACATGTATCCAGATGCTTGTATCCCAGTCTTCACTAACACTGATGCTTTTAAATGAATATGTGAACGGAGACTGGCTGCGATAAGATAAACTATGGGACTATCCAGTGCTGGCTGATCTGGGCTCTGTCCATGGTGCTACTAAGTTTACCCCAACTTTCCTCCCAGCTCTCAGGCGACTCCACTTAAAGGTGCAGTAAACAGGCTACACATTCAGTCCGAAACGACGTCGGGGTTTATTTACTCACGTATGCGGGATTTATGATTTCACGTTGCTTTTTGTGCTGACAGTCTACATTTAAGACCGAAAAACGTCAGATATTGATCTGACTCGCAAACCTTCTCAACAGGTAGGACCATCAGCAGAGACACAACACACTAGACACCAGTGACTCATCGCGGACGTCCATTTCACACTTTGTTATCCACAGCGCCTCACTTTGTCTCTTTTTTCCGGGCAGCTGCAGCCTCCTCTTTTCACTAGTGTATATAACCGAGTTTCCAAGCAGTGAAGGAGACAGTCTTACTCACTGGTCGGAGTGTTGGCGCTTCTCACCGGGGATCCATGCGCTGGCCGACCGCTGGATCTCCAGCGCTGCCGCTACTGCTGTTGTGAATCAGCTGAAGCGGACACACTGAGCATGCGTGTAGATGGGAGACATGTCAACTCTCAGTAGGATATGACATCTGGTGACCTTCTGTTCGGATGAATGTCTACCTTTTAAGCAACATATTGATCTTAGCACTCTGTTTTAGACACAAAACAAAAGACCGATTGCTGCTACTTTTTGAAATCAACAGTACATTTACAGATCACACACCAAAGATGCCATTGTTTCACAAAGACTGGCAAATCTGTTAACTGCTCCCTTTAAAAAAGTCAGTTTCTTAATTGCATACCAAAAATATGGTGCACAGTAAAGAAATAGTTTTCTACAGCGAGCAGTTAACAGAGTTGTTGAACTTCCTAAGCAGTGCTTCACTAAGGTGACCTGTTATATAGAAATGCACTGTCAGTGCATTGCCTTCAGAGGTTGGACTGTTTATCACAGTGCATTTAGGATTTGTTATAAACCTAAAAATCATTAACCTATCACAGTCAATGGTGCATCTCTCTTGATGCACCATTTAAGTCATTGACATTTTATTTGTGAAACTACAAAAGGTTTCCCCCGTACCTTTGCAAACTTATTTCAAGGAGCTCATTTTCCAGGCGCAATCTTAGTTCATTTGTAAGGTCAATTAAAGAAAGGGCCCACACTCACAAATCAATTAACTTGGGGACTTATTTATTCAGTTTTCTGAATTCAGCACAAAAGAAAAAAAATCTGTGAAACAATCCTTGAGTTTCATGATTGAATCATTTTAACTTTTCACCAATAAGCATCGTAAGGCAATGTGGGTTTTTATACAACTCTAGAGCCTCTAAACTGTCTATCAGCTGTCAGTTTGACAGGATAGTCGATTTAAATTGAGTGCTGCATTCAACTAGCTGTCAGTGCCTCTGGGAATGCAAATGAAAGAAGCATTTCAGTCTCTGTAAGTGGTAGCTCTCATTAAAGATTAAAATAATGTTAAAAGAAACAACCACACACACACACACACACACACACACACACAGATGTGTGCCAATATGTGTTCTGTAAATATTTCAGGGTTTCCTGAAGGTGTATTATTTATGCAAACTGTCATAACAGATCCCAAATGAATAGAAAACAAATACTGCCATTTCACATATTTATATATTTATCCAATCACTGTGTCAAAAGAACATTTGCTACCAATGCAGAATAAGTGTGTGCTGTGCATGGTTTTGTGTGTGTACAGTACATGGGGGTAGTGGTTCATCATCCCTGCATATTTATTTGGACATAGTATGATAAGCCATAAAATGCAGGATAAGACTGTTTCCAAGGTGCCCTGGTAAGAGAAAGACAGGGGAGGGGAAGGAGGGAGAGAAAGAGAGAGAGAGAGATTTGTATTACCATGCTGCTGTATCAGAGATAAAAAATTTTATGTTACATGTCCAGCAAGGTCAGCCACAGGATGTGAGCTCTACATGTTGACTGGGTGAGAGATAATTACACTTCCCTTTAAGATGATGTGCAAACAAAATTTTTTTTTCCATCCGCTCTATTTAAAAGCTGTTGTAAAGCTTTATTGGTCATTTCAGCTGCATGCCTTGCTGCCCTTATTACTTCCTTTATTCACTGGCTTGGGAGGGCTATCCTGTGGTGTGAGAAATTATGCATTGTGTTTGTCTGGTATCTCAAAAATAACCTGTGCATCAAACCACTCCAGCCTATAAAGCCACTGTCATTATTGTGCAATGTCCAAGTCACAAAGCCTATTTAGGTTTGATGACAGTTTACATGTTGCTTTTTTCCACCTGTCTAATCTTTGTCAGGGTGGTAGCGATGGTGGTGGCTATCCCAGAGGGAATTTAAAGATGTGTAGGACATGTCGGCTGTTCAGCGTGGTGCTACTCAAGATATGGAGACAAACACTTACGGACAAAGTTTCCTTAGTTTGAAACACCGCCTATAATGTACATCTGAATGCATAAAATTGTTACTTTTCATCCATAAAGAAGAAGCTAGGCTACATTTGGGTTGGGATCTGTGCAGCCAGGCTAGCTATAGGCTCAGCTAGCTGACTGCCAGCTCCATCTACACAAGATGAGACCTTTAAATGTACTCTCTCTGTTAAACACATGTTTTGAAAGCTTACTTTCTAGGAGCTAAAACTCCTATTTTTTAATTTTTATCTCAAATACAAACATACCTTATGGATTCAGGCACATTGTGGCTCAAATCATTCTCTTATTCTAGCTGAAATGAAAGCAGGCTGTGACTTATCTTTTAATTGCACTAAAATGCTTGTTAACTCAAATTTCCTCTTTTCTTGCTTGTGTCATATCTCTCCTAAATTCAAGCATACAGTCAGGATACATCACACTATCTCAAATACAGGCATACCTTTTTAATTGCATAAATATAAGCTGGCTAAACTCTTTCTGTTGCTCACTATCTCTTTCTTAAAAGTAGGTATTGCAGGCACACAGTTATGGCTGCACACAAGCTCAAATTCTGTTATCTTCAATACAGCTGTGCTTTTAATAAGTACACATTTTAATTGTACACTATGGCGTCTTTAAAGCACAAATTTTCTCTCCCTCATTGTAATGTATGAAGCAGTGCTCCTGCCCTGCTGCAGACAGGGTGATAGCAGTGCAGAGTTCAGAAGGTCACTGGATGTGTTTGTGGGTGCAGGGCTGGTGAATGGCTGTGTTACATCATGCAGAGCGTCAGATAATGGCACATTAACAAGAATTATGTACCCCATGTTGACAAGTGAGAGGGAAATGTTCAGAGTGTAAAGATTCTATAAGGAGAAGAATTCATAAAATGCAGTACAATAGCACTTTGGGAACTAATGGGCCGTCAGGTGTCACATCCTGTGATGAAGAGGCAGGGGAGTGTGTGCATGTGGGTATGCGTGGATGTGTGCCTGCATGACTGTACTGCTCATTATTGCTCAATATGGGCTATAAAACCTTTCCTCCTGAAAGTCCTTTTAAATGTATTCTTATTTTGGGCTCCATGCTTGTCACTCATGCTTTCACGAAGAAAACGTCTGTTTATGATAATACTGTAAACAGTGCATGCGCGACATCGGCTATAATTAGACTTCCAGGCAGTGCAAGTCTTGAGGAGAAGCAAAAATAAAGCTGTCACAATATGTGCATACTTTGCAAGACTTTGCAAAACTATTTTGACTGGAGCTCTGATTGATTTGTTTTCTGTGGTTAGTGATGGAATATTTACTCGGACTTGGTTTTTACTTGTGTACTCCATAAAAAGTAAAAATCTTCTATTCAGTGCTATTTAAGTAAAAGCATGAAATCAGCAAATGTTCTTAAAAAGTACTTATCTTTAATGCAGAATGCCCTACTGTTATGTAGTATAATAATGGCTTATTATTATTACTGATATATAATATTTTAATAAAAAGCATTTTAAAGAATATGGTATGATTATTTATATTTTCATTATTGTCATTAAATCAAAGACTAAAACTGACAACACATTAGTCTATCATCTCTCTACTTTCTACCTTTCCTCCCACCAGTGAAAACCAGTCAGGCCAGGGGAAGCCAGGACCACGAGGTGTTCCACATGAACCGACTGGCCACTACGGTCTGATCACACAACCTGCATAAATGGCAGAATATCAACACTGAGTAAGTGTTAGTACGCAAGCTGGAAATCCAGTTTGTACTCATATATACTGTACATGCACATATAAAGTAAATACACATACACAAGTACAACAGATGGGGCCGGAGAGAGAGGGAAGAGAGGAATCTGCACATACAAGACAATCGCTTACATTCCTCGCTCTGCAATTAAAAAAGAGAGAGAGAGAAGAGTGTCAGAAAGCAGTACTCTATATAACTACAGAAAATAAAATCCCAGTGTTTCTCCATTTTGTTCTTAATATCCCTGCTAAGAGGAGAGTTGGTGGTTGCACTCACACACAAGTGATCCATAGCAGGCTTAACTGGTTTGCTCTAACAGCTTATTGTTATCATTTTGATGGTTTTTCTATTATCTGTGTGTATACTTATACAGTATGCGTGCATGTTGTACAGCTTTGTATTAGAACTTAGACAGGGTTGATATTCTGCTACTTGTGCAGGTTGTGTGACTAGACCTTCGTGGCTAAAGCAGCAGGACATGTTACTAACACAGGATTAAATACATTTCTTGAGGAGTTTTGTCAGCTGTGGGTTAATACAGAGTTACAGCAGCATTTTGGCCTTCATATCACCCCCCAAATCTTTCCAAAACATATAATTCTTTACAAGAGGATAAAAACTGATAGTTGTACACTACATACTGATTTCTCATTTAGTCATGAGAGTGACTGAAATTAAGGTCAAATCATCACTATTAACTGTTCTAGTCATGTTTCAGCTGCAGGGAAACTGTTTTACATATTATGCTGAAACACAATCCAAATAAATCACTCTTCCATAAGGCCCTGAAGCATGGCTCCTCCTCATACATACATTTCATCATTCATCTACTTCAGTTTAATACATTATATTCTGCATTCAGATGTGGGGCTATCCTGGAAACAAGCCTACTTACATAATCTTGCTATAGACTGAGATCTATCTATCTATAACCTACCATTTCTCCCATCTCAGACAGACTGACCCACTTCTACCTAGAACAGACTGTGCCCTGAGGGTAGGCTGGTCACAACATAAGGCTACTGCAGAGCTGACTGGTTCAGGGGTCCATCTAAATGAGCTCCTGTGCCTCTGTCTTTCTTCAAGTCATTACAGCAGCAAAGACCGAATGGACACGTTTTATTCCATGGATAAGTTTGTTCAAGGTCATATGAAGGAGATCAATAAGACCATGCTGGTGTACAAAGAGGTGGATAACATGCATGTGTCTTGGGGGGTGGTACACAGGCTCACACCTGCATGGGGTCAGACACAGTGTCATCTCAGTTCCTGAATATTGACACTAGATGTCAGTGGAATGCAGCACAGAGCTTTGTCTGCATTTGAGTCAGCCATTGTAAGTTTCTTTGTTTCTTTCAA